ACAAGTGTTTTGTGAAAAACAAATCTATAACCAACACCTTTTTCAAAAAGATATAAATCCTGGTTTTATTCCTTGTTTTATTAAGAATTTGAGAATCACAATGAGACCTTTTTTAGTGCAGTGGCTACATGGTACTTTACCGGTGAGATTAGCTTGATGCGGTGAGTTCTGGCAACCTGGATCACGGACTTTCTGATTGGTGAAACAGTGGAGGGCGAGACATCAAAATGAAAACAATGGCCCTGTCCCAATACTCGCACTTCCACCCTCGCGCCCCTCATTTGCACGTTCCCGATGATGGGTGTGAGTGCGTAGGGTGTCACAATTCTCCAAGGAGGTCTTTGGCCCCGCCCCCTTTGCGCCCCTGATCCACACTTCGCTGTAATATGCACCTAATCAGACGCTGGCGAAGGATATTGCTCAATAATCTTTGTGGTAAACACCAAAACGTCGGGAAAATTTGAAATCTATATGCTGTATGTGTGTTAATAAGTTTTTCTATGTTACATGGAAAGAAGTATAAATGACTGATGAAGGATTACGGACATTCTATGTTTACAATTTCATAACTTTTTTAAACCAAGCATTCATATAACATTCAATTTAAACTTTACACTTAGTACAATAAACTTTGGATGTATGTAATGACATGTAAAGCGTCTTTGAGTGTCCAGAAAAGCGCTATATAAAACCGATGCATTATCATTATTATAAAAACTGACCAGATAACAGTTAGTTACCCACACTTAACAGTTATCTCAAATTACGAATAACCAATACACATTTATTTTAACATGTGTGAAGCAACTAATCTTGTTTCCCACAGGGTTGGACGAAGTGACCTTTAATTTTTATAAAGTTTAGGTCTGAAAATGACCATCTCTTGACGAGTCGATGACGTAACCTGCACTGTCCCAATTCCGCCTTTTTTGCTGTAACCTACGCACTCAAACCCTTGCGTGCACTTCAAACAAATGCACATTTCGTGGAAGAGGGTAGGGGGCAGTGTGGGCATTGGGACAGGGCCAATATCATCATAGTAAAGGGGATGTCAAACTAATTTTTTAATTCAAATCTTTCTGAACTATTGTTATCAGTTAAAGAAGTATCACAAAAACCATGTTTCATTAGCGCTTTTTGACAGATTAGGGCCCTTTAATGATTGACTGATGATGACTGGACATGGAAATCTTACATATTGCTACTTTAAGGATCCCCGTTATCATACCATAATGCAGTGGTAGAACACAAAAACATCTTACTAAACACGTCACACCAAATTGGTCCTATTTCATTCCAAATAAAAGAAACACAGAAGTACCATTACGCATCCATCATCTGCAATCCCGCCAGGTTGCCTTGACACCCCAACTCTGCAAACATGCAAAACAGAAAGTGCACCATAATTTGAGGACACATGCTTTATAATACCCCCAGTTTTACTCTTCGCATTAACCGCGGCAACAACATGTATTTCTCTGGGCCTTCTTTCCCCAATAGCTGCGAATATATTTATACCAGACTTCTTCTTCCTCTCTGCGGTTTTGTTTCCCGCCCTTAGGTAAAGCCACGAGCGAGATGGGGGAGGCCTTTGATGCTTCCGACTTGTGGAACTACTGTACTATCACTTTTGCGAGGCGCAGGAATCATTTTCAATAGCTCGGAAATTGCTAAAAAAGATGGATTTTCTCTCAGGTTTTGAAAGGTCAGCCAAAGTGTCATGCAACTGTTTGGATTTCATTAGCTATGATTGGTGGAACGGCTAAGGCAAATTAACCGTTAGCCCAAAATCTCTCATTATCTAAATAGACTCTAGTTCAATCAAAACGCGCCCTCAAAATGCAATCTCATTCCCTTTTTCGTCTTTTTTTCTCTGCCTGAATTTGATTATGAATACTCACATCTAATCTTACTCTTTTTTTTTTTTTTTGCCAAGACAGAAATGCATTTTCAGTTTAATCTCATTACACAACTTTATCTCCAGATCAGATGTAGCAGTAGGCAGTTTTTGGGATTTGCAGTGACGAAACGTATTTTTTTTCTCAAATATTAAGCCTAGTAACTTCCTCTACTACTGTCGCAGGGTCAAACCTACCCTGATTGGCTGATGCACCTGTCAATCACGCTGGTCCGAACCCAGGGAATGTCAACTCCTTTTACAATGGCTTGAAATATATTAGAATGATAATTTTTTTGTTTTCTTTTTTTTCTGTTTTTGTCCTTCCATATTCTCGGAGCAGGCTGATAGAATGATTGATTATCTTACACTGCAAAAAGTAATGGGAAATACGTCAAAAATTGCTCAAAAATGGCAAAATGTATTTCAATTTGAGCACATCCTGACTGAGCCTTAAAACATATTTTTCCAAAGGGACGAATTATCATGTTTTTAAAAGTCTCCATTGGAATTAGAAAATATTACAAAAGTGGCTTTTTCCCATTGGCAAATCTTGTTTAAGACAGTCAGAATGTCTAAAATTAAATAGAAAAAAAAATATTACCTCTTATTATATGACTTGGATCGTACGCTCGCTCTGATTGGTTGATTTGCGGTCTGATATTTTCCCATCTCGGACCGTTACCATGACAATTGGTCCGCAGCGCGTATCAGATTTGATATCTTTCCTCGGTAAAAAAAAAAAAAAATGAGCGATGACTGGGAGCATTCTCCAGTGAATTATATTATCCAGACGTGTTGGAAGAGCCGGAGAAAGTAATAACAGCAAATAACGACAAAAACACAGCTCCTAACAGTCAAGAAGAGATTGACAACTCCGTTACAGACCAGAAAGGAAAAAACAGGATTAGGAAAACCAAGTGGGACATGAACATACTTTACAAATATGTAAAAAGCATTGGTAAAGACACAGACTGAGAACTTACAGCGGGCGCCTCAATCATCTGATCAGTTCTCATGTCACGGTTTGACAGTTTTGTTGCAAGTGTTTTTAGTTGAAATCGATCGATATTTGTACAAATTAAGAATAGTCATATAATAAAATATTAATTAACCTTGCTTGCTCGGTCTGTATCTTGGTCTTTTTGCACTGTACAAAAAGGCCACGGTCTGATATTTCTCTGTACAGACCTGGCGCTCGTTCAATAAGCCGTTAATATTTTATTCTTTTATGCCTATTGTGCCATATCGTGATACATTTACACACAAACTGTACAAATGTAATGAAATCCACACAACTGTTTTGCATCTTGATCAGTGAGAAAAGTGAATAAAGAGAGGACCACTTTCAATTACTGTCTCACTGAGCTCTTACAAGAATGCAAAAAAAGCACATTTTCCGCCCCAATAGAAAACAAAAAACAATGTAATAATAATGCATCTTGTAGTTATATATCCCAGCTTGAAGCATATTGGTTCCCTTGGTTCAGCCTGAGAATTTGTTCCGTTCATTTATCATAAAACCAGCTTTGCAACGTGAAAAAAGAGGACATTAAAAGGAAACACATCCAGCGAAATATTAGATGGAAAAATACTGCAATATCCGGAAGCCAACCACTTATAGATTTTGGCTGAGGCTAGGGGCATGTCTTAATTAACTGATAACATTAATTTGTCAAACAGCAGCAATTTGGGAGGCAGCTAAAGAGTGGGGTGTAGTCTGTATTAAAAATATAGCTTGGCAAAGTTGCTCAAATTTGTGCATTTAGAATTCAATATCGGCTGTCTGCAATAAAGCTGTCCAGGCAATTGTGGGTGTTATAGATAGGGCATTTGGGATATTGGCAGATTAAGGATTTGTAAGCATTATGTTCGAGGCCTGGTTATCACTGCAAATTCAGCTACAAACATGTGGTTAAATTCTGGGTATTCACAATGTACTGCTATGGTGTCAATGGGCAAGACACTTTAAAGTATGAAAACTGCTCTTCTATCACATTTGACACGATGCCAATGAGTTAGATCGGCAAGTCAATTTAAAATTATTTTTTGTATAGCCCTAAATCACAATCGTAGTGGACTCGGAGGACTTTACAAAGATATCGATTCGCCAACACGGCACAGAGAATTAAACAGTTAAAGGAGCAGTGGGTTCAAATCTGGTTAAAAGTGGTACTGCAGCCTCTCCCGTTCTCCCTGACTCGGGTTGCCAGATATGCAGACGAATCCAGCTGGGACCATAAAATCTCTTTCCATGGACGGAAAGGCTGCAGATTCAGGACTCAATCCAGACTTAAAATACACAGCAAACATTACAATATAAAAATAATTAGTTAAAACTTTACAATTCAAAACAGGTCATTAAAACATATACAAAAAACACAAAAGCAAACAACACATTGGGTTTTTAATGTGTGATTAAAAGTCCTGAGCGTTCTTTCTCGTGTATGGACTGGTAGCGTGTTCCAGAACTGAAAGGCACGCACTGAGAAAGCTGATCTGGTGTTTCTGCTGCTCTGCTTAAAGAAAAAAAATCTTATTTTAGGCCGAGATGCTGCCGTGGTGGTGGCAAAAAGGTTTCCTATCCAGGACTTTTAACGCCCGTTTGTAAACTGGATGGGTTCCGGGTTGTTTTGCAGCCTTGTGACCAGCTAGACTTAAGACTGGACTCACTGGAGGAAATGGGTGGAGTCTATGTGCTCCTGCTTGGTTGGAAATAAAACCCGGAGTCCCATGGCCCCTTTTTGATCCAGTTTGACACCCACGTTTCATAGTTAGAAATAGATATTGATCCACCAAAGGAGAAAGTTGCATCCATCCCTCCATACAAGCATCAACGTGTATGGATATTTATATGGATAAAGAGTTCTACAACTTACCACCAACAGTGAAACACTTCCTTGACATTTTTGTTCCTTATTTACAACAACACACAGCATCTGATTAGATCCCTGTCAACGGTTCGTTACATATTCTGCTTTGATCGTCGGAGCTCTTGTGCGCGAGGCCTCTGCGACGACTCAGTTTCGCTCCGGCGCTTTAAGCAAATTAGCAGAGGTGCCGAACTCTGCCTCGACTAACACAGTAACGTTTACAGGCTCCATTAGAATTCTGTTGGATGGAGGTGGCGGTAATCGGCAGCAGCAACAGGAGCGATAGTTGGACAGAGAAGAATGACTGAACTGCTCGGATTCTCAAAGGGAGGGGACTGGGAGAGGGAGACAGGGAGAGGGAGACTGGGAGAAGGAGACAGGGAGAGGGAGACAGGGAGAGGGAGACAGGGAGAGGGAGACTGGAAGAGAGAGACAGGGAGAGGGAGACAGGGAGTGGGAGACAGAGAGGGAGACATGGAGAGGGAGACTAGGAAAGGGAGATAGGGAGATCGAGACTGGAAGAGGGAGACTAGGAGAGGGAGATAGGGAGATCGAGACTGGAAGAGGGAGACTAGGAGAGGGAGACAGGGAGAGGGAGACTAGGAGAGGGAGATAGGGAGAGGGAGACTAGGACAGGGAGAGGGAGACAAGGAGAGGGAGACTGGAAGTGGGAGACTGGGAGAGGGAGACTGGAAGAGGGAGACAGGGAGAGGGAGACAGAGAGGGAGACTAGGAGAAGGAGATAGGGAGAGAGGGAGACTGGGAGAGGGAGACTGGAAGAGGGAGACTAGAAGAGAGAGACAGGGAGAAGGAGACGGGAAGAGGGAGACTGGGAGAGGGAGACAGGGAGAAGGAGACTGGAAGAGGGAGACTGGGAGAGGGAGACTGGAAGAGGGATACAGGGAGAAGGAGACTGGGAGATTATCAACGGCAATGCACGGTTTGAACTCATCAGGGCAATCAAATCCAAAATCAAGGCAGGGCAAGTTTATTTGTAAAGCCCAATTCAACAACTCAAAATTAAAATCATAAAAAATCACACTACATTAAAACAAAAGATACAAAATAGGATTATTTGTTAGTGGCATAAACATACACAACATTTTACACAAAGAAAAAAATATGCTTTTACTGAGCAGTGGATTTTAGCTTTTTAACTTTTACCATTTTTTTATATTCTGACTGCATGTGTGTCTCAAAGCTGGTCGTATGTCTTATGAAAAGCTATGGTCTAATCAGTAAGCAAATGTTCTGGAGACAGATGCCAGGTTGTGTGCGTGTGCGTGCGTGTGTGTATAATAAATGCTATTTTTTTTATATGCAGAATTCAAAGAAGCTAATGTCTGTTGGTGTCATCTACAAAATCCCATTAGCCTGAACATACATTAAGCAGACAATACATTACAAACACATCACTCAAAATGACTCAAAAAAGTGTTGAGGAAAACAATTATAACATTGTTAGAATCTCTTAAAGTAAATTCTGCAAAATGAGTGACATTGAAGCAGAAATTTGTAGTAGTAATCTTTATTTATATACCGCCTTTTCACTGCACATTGGAGTCTCAAAGCGGTTTACAATTGTTATTTTTGGGAGCGGGGCCAGTACAGGAGGCACATGCCAGACCTATTGTACATATTTTTAGTGGTAGGGGAAACCGGAGCACCCGGAGGAAACCTACGCAGACACGGGGAGAACATGCAAACTCCACTCAGAAAGGCCCTGGTCCAACCGGGATTCGAACCCAGGACCTTCTTGCTGAGAGGCGAGAGTGCTATCCACTCAGCCACCGTGCTGCCCAATTTGGAACTTACTAATGTTATTTCATCAACCAATGTCTTACATCAGAACCGCTACATTCACCGCTGATAGAAGACAAACAAATGATTCCCTGAAATTGACTTTTTTCCCTCCTCCATCGCCTCTGAAAAGCCCTTAAGAGTTTAGTCAAAGTCAAAGCCACAAAGTCGATGTAATGTAACTGCAATCCCGCTCTCTATAGATTTGTGTCTTCGCTGTCTCCTCTTCTGTGTTTGTAATTGGAACTTTATATCCCCCTCCTTTCTCTCCCTCGAGATCCAGAAATGATTTTGCCGTTGGGGTTCGCTGCTGACCTTAAATCTCGTTTTTCAAGCCCCGATCGCTCACCTGTAAACCAAGCCGACCCCACAGCGGCTCAGACTGTAAAAATAACACTGGCGTCGGATTGGATGCACTACTTCTGGGCACCGCATCTGAAAAAAAAAAACAATAAAATAAATAAATAAATACACTACAAATAGATTCTGCTTCTATCTGTGTGGAGTACAATGGAATAAGACACTTTAAAGAATAAAGACTCCTTACTTCATTTCAATTCCTTTCCGTTTCTTTTTGCACAGGACTAAATCACTGCAGCGGTTGTCTTGGAAGGACTTTACAAAGTTGTCGATTCCCCCAAAAAGCAGATCAAAGATTCAGAAGCAGTTCAAACATACAAAAATGGATTAAAAACAAACATATAGAAGCCATTAGTTCACAGACAGCAGGGTGACCTTTCTCTATGAATGTCCATACATTTTAATAAATGTCCATAAATATCCATACATATCCATAAATGGCCATAAATATTTATACATATCCATGCATATCCATAATTGCTAATACATATCTATACATGCTCATACATGTTAATACATATCCATAATTATCCATAAATGTCAATAAATGTCCCTAAATGTCCATAAATGTCCTTAGACCCATCTGCATCGGCAATAAATAAATAAATAAGAAGGTCCTTTATTCGTCCCACAATGGGGAAATTTCAGTTAAATACATATTTTCATCCATTGGGTTCAACTCTAAGAGAAAAACGGGTCAGTACAAACACCAGATGAGACCAAGGGATTTTTTATCTTTGACGTATGTTGACCATGTTAGGGTTGGTGAGAGGACCTCAAAGCAGACACCAAAAAGGGCAGTAACCAATATTTATTAACAAAAAGTGCAGCAGGCTCGGCTTAAGGGAAACAGGGCGAGGCTTGGTCCAGTGGGGGGCTCCGAGCAGGCAGTGGAACACGGTGGAAGACGGACCAATCTGACGATGAGTGGAGATCAGCTTGGACACTTTGTACTGTAGTGATGAGTGACAGCTGTGCCTGCTCCAAGACCACACCCAACAGGAGCCATGCCTGAAACAAAAACACAAAGCCACACGGGGGAGCCAAACCACAACAGACCAACCATACAAAATCATTAATACATTGACCAAGATATCCTGTATTGGTCTCACAGAGAGGAAATTTCAGTGTTGCATCGTCAGTTACAGAACGGTTGGAATGAGAAGCACACAACACAAGATAAATGAACCATAACTCTGCACTACTATAAAAAAATACATATAAACAGTCATGTGTAACTTTACTGTAGTTTTCAGCTGCACAGTGTTTAGTGCTCACCAAGTGTCACCGAGATCTGACTCTTTAAGAGAGTAAACTTTCACAATGAAAACATGACTAAACCATTTGACTGTTGTTCATACTCAATGTTGTCAGGACGTATTATTCTGAGACACAGACAGTTTCATTGACCTCAAGAATTGCTTTTGAGGAATTCACTTTTCATTTTGAGAAGGTGATGCACTTTTGAAGGTTATCCACGAGGTTTTGCAGACAAGAATGATGTGAGAAATGCACCAAAGCCACTGAGAAAAACTGTAAAGAATCAAAGAAAATGTGAATGTTTTATTATACGTCATTGGCCTTTCTCGCGGTGACAAGGTACTTTTTTATTTTTCACATTTTGTCCTCGTCTTGTTCCGCACGATCCTTCAGATTGGGATCCTCAAAGTGTCTCTACACACTGTCCACCTCGACTGCAAGACACAAAAACCTTTATGACACAAAATGTCATAAATTGTTGTGACTTTTTTTTTCTCTCGCAACAGTTCGGTTCAATCACAGCGGTGTCATCTTTGGCTCCTGACGCACACGGCTTTAGGGCTGCTTTTTTTTCCCAGCAGAAAAGTGAAAAACAGACGACGTCAGCGCTCGGCCAATCAGCTCTCATCCTCGAAGAGCCAAGTAGTGACTCTGTGTTACCAGTATGATATGATAGAAGACGATAATAATAATAATAATAATAATAATATTATTATTATCATTATTATTATTAATACATCGGTTTTATATAGCGCTTTTCAAGAACTTTTTTCAAAGACGCTTCACAATTCAGGACACACACACGTACGTTTCGACAGACACACAAAACTAAAAATCAAAAGCAGGAAAGAGTCATATATTTGGAGGAAGAGGTGTGTTTTTAGCTGTTTTTTGAAGGAGTTTAGTGAGTCCGAGTTTCTGAGATGAGGGGGAAGAGAGTTCCAGAGAGTGGGAGCAGAGATGGCGAAAGCTCGGTCCCTAGATAGATAGATCAGCAACAGCAGCAGAGGTGGAGTAACCGCTGGGTGGAGCAGGACGGGTCAAAAGGTGGAGTAGCCGCTTGGTTCAGACCATTTTCTCTGCTCTGGTCCAAAGTAAAAAGCTGAACGCTTCATTAGCATTTTTCAAAAAGTTAGCATTCCTCCAGTGGATTTACGGCTGATCCGCTTGGTTCGGACCATGAATCCTCTTTGCTCTGGTCTGGACCAGTGTAAAACCATGAATCCTCTTTGCTCTGGTCTGGACCAGTGTAAAACCATGAATCCTCTCTGCTCTGGTCTGGACCAGTGTAAAACCATGAATCCTCTCTGCTCTGGTCTGGACCAGTGTAAAACCATGAATCCTCTCTGCTCTGGTCTGGACCAGTGTAAAACCATGAATCCTCTCTGCTCTGGCTTGGACCAGTGTAAAACCATGAATCCTCTCTGCTCTGGTCTGGACCAGTGTAAAACCATGAATCCTCTCTGCTCTGGTCTGGACCAGTGTAAAACCATGAACACTGTACTGCAACAACATCTCAGGCAGAAAAACAGCAATAAAAATAAAAATTGTTTCAGAGCTACTTAGGACTTGCAGCCGTTTTCCAGCGCATTCAAAAGGAGCATGTAACAAATAAGAATCTTTCTCATATGGATACAGATAAAAAACAGAATTTATTTTGTCTGATTTGTGCAAAACATTCAACATTTACAGGACAAAAAAGGATAATAATTTTTGGGTTAGGGTTAGCCTTTTTTTTGGATGATGAAGATTTATTATTATTATTATCATCTTTACTGATCTTGCCTTTATTGAAACGGTTATTTTTTTCCTGTTTTATGTATTTTTAACCTTGTTTTATTTCTGTAATTGTCTTTTGCACTCTGGGGAGTTTTGCGGATGTATGCCAATGTGGTTTTACTAACCCTAACCCTAACCCTAACGGCAAATAAATGATTCAGAATCTGATTGTTAAAAGAAAAACCCAACCAAAAAATACAACAAAGAGACGGATATAAAACTAAATACATACCCTCAAGATTTCACAAGTATAAAAAATAAAAAATAAAACAAAAATAAAAATGGCAAGGATTTGACATAACCAATACATGTTAACGACGTGTATGTATAATTGACTCTGACGAAACTAAATTAAAAACACATAGTGCATTAATCAATTGGAATGATCATTTTTGTGAAGAATTTCAGATTGGAAATTTCTGTCCCAAAGCAAACAAATCCCCCGTGACCCGTCGGCCTCTCTGTGTGAAATCAACAGTGCTGTGCCAGTTCACAGCTTTTCTGAACTAGTTCAAGTTCAGTTCATACATGCTCAAAGTGAACAGTTCACGTTCAAAGTTCACAATTTTAATTCTGAGCTAGTTCAAAGTTCAGTTCATTTTACTTTTTTTTAAACTACGAGCTATATATATATATATATACACATATATATATATATATACACATATATATATATATATATACATATATATATATATATATATATATGTATATATCTCCTGTACACCCACAGGAGGAGAGCCTTTTGACCACAAAACAGACCAGATTTACATGGTTTTCAATGGGAGCCAAACAGAGTTGCTCCATCTATGCTCATAAACTACAGACAGTAATGCGCTGCAGTGCTGTGTCTATACTTTATGTCAAATGTAAACGGTGTAAACTTTGTCGCTAACTCACCCTGTGTTTTCATCACGACTCGGGCACATGTGAAAAGCACCAGCTCACAGCGCCGCACCGCAACACGGAGTCGGGGTGCGTTCACAGACGGTGGAAACCGTAGGAATTTTTAGATTTCGGCGGAAAAAGTGTGAGAATACAGGAGGGAGAAACTTTCTCTTGTTGCGTTTCAAAAGAGAAAACGGATTCCAACGTTCATAGTGATGTCTGCGGTTCATGACACATAAAATGAACTAATTCACGTTCAAGTTCTTCTTTTAAAAATGTGTTGCGTTCAGTTCAACGTTCACGAAAAAATGAGCGTGTTCAATGAACGCGTTCTTTTGAACTTGTTCACGTACAACACTGGAAATCAAAACATCAGAGACTCAGGGTTCGCCATCATCAGTCTTAGATCTCCACCAGAGACAAACCGCCTCGGCTAAGCTAAGGTTTCTTTCCATCTGTCATCGACCGGTCCGTCCTCTAAACATGTCTCTGTGTTTTCTAACTGTCTTGTCCCGCCCCTTTCTGGAGGGAGAAGAATGATCCAAGGAAAGAAACGTATCAATTCTGTAAAAAAAGGCCTTCGTTGGTCAGATTCTCCTCAAACAACCTTTACTTGGAAAAGTTAACATAATTTTGCGAACAAAAACGCTTTGATAATTATTAATTATTGTCGTCTTTAGAGATACTGCGAATATGATTCTTGGCTCCGTGGGCGAAGAGACAAAACACATTCAGGGATATTTGACAAAAATCAAATGTTTCTGTTACCGAAGGACAAATTTTGAAGTTAGATTTCTTTATGTCAAATGGAGATAAAGAAAATGTTTTATTCATTCACCAGCGCCGTCAGTGAATATGCATCTGTATACATCCACAGTTTGATCATCTCTATTGAAACTTGTTGAAATGTGTGTAGGTGTATGGTAATTAGACTAGATACTGTAGGGAGAGACCTGAGAGAGAGAGACCAGAATGACACTAGAGAGGGAGAGACCAGATAATGAGACTGGAGAGGGAGAGACCAGATATAGACCAGAGAGAGACCAGAGAGAGGCCTGAGAGAGACCAGAGAGAGATCAGAGAGAGGCCAGAGAGAGGCCAGAGAGAGGCCAGAGAGAGGCCAGAGAGAGGCCAGAGAGAGAGGCCAG